AAGAGGGTTAAGGGATGAAGAATTTCTTTGTGTTTCAAAGCTGTTGTTGCTTCTAGATTCGGTGTGTTTGGACCCCCCTAACCTGGATAAAAGAGTCTGGTCCCTAACCCCGGTTGGCTCCTTCACTTGTGCTTCTTTCTTTAAAGCCCTTTGCTCCAACCCCTCCTCTCAGGTCTTCTCTATTAAAGAGGTTTGGTCAAGACAAATTCCCCCCAAAATAGCAGTGTTCTGTTGGGAAACCTATTATGGTAAGATCAATACTGTGGAAAGCTTGCAAAAGAAGAAACCTTTTATGTGTTTGTTCCCAAATTGGTGCTTTCTATGTAAAGTGAAGGGTGAGGACTGTAACCATTTGCTGATATCGTGCTCCTTTGCTGCCAATATTTGGAACTGGGTTGTTTCCTTATTTGGGTGCAAGTGGAACTTGCCCTCTGAAATAAAGCTGCTGTTTACTCTGGCTGCTTTTGGGAGATTGACAAAAAGAGGGAAGCTAATGCGGAAATGTATCAGAGCTGCTACCTTGTGGACTTTAAGAGAGGAGAAAAATGCTAGAATATTTCAAGAACAGGAAAAAAATCTTGCTGAAATCAAGGAATGCATATGACAAGGACTATCTCATGGTTAAAATCTTCACATTTGTTGGCAGATTACTCCTTTGAAGACTTAAGGAGAAACTGGGCTGCAGTGGCTTCTATAGTCTCCACCAAGATCAATTCACAAGTTGAATGGAAACCCCCACCAGATGGAGTGGTAAAATTGAATTTTGATGGCAGCTGCCAAGGTAACCCAAGGCCATCTGGTATTGGTGGGATTCTGAGAGACAAAGACAGCAATATGTTGTCTCTATTTTCAGGACCAGTGGGTGAAGGTGATTTTGTAAGGGCAGAGCTACTAGCAGCGGTACAAGGTATACAGATGGCCAGTCAAATTGGAGTGAACAATTTGTTAGTAGAAGGGATTCCAAGGTAGTAGTAGGCTGGCTGATTAGCCCAGAAACAGCTTGTTGGGGCTACAGGGATCTATTAAAGAAAGTTAAATGGATGACAAGAAATATAACTGTCTGGTTTCAGTGGGTCAGAAGATCAGCAAATGCAATGGCGGATTCTCTAGCCAAGCAAGGGGTGTCAAGGGGAGATCTGTTTTGGGCTACTTTGTAATTGTGTTTCAGGCTTGGGCATGTTTAGTGTATATGGTTCAGTCCTCGGGGGAGGTAACATCTCGTGCCTCCTCCTAGGCTGATTGTATTTTTGTTATTTGAATTAATAAAACTTTTCTCACTTATCAAAAAAAAAAATCTAGTTCTTGTGCACATCCTAGTGGAAGTGAAAGAGATTCATTCAGTTCCTTCGTCCTTGTCCCTTCACTTTGCTGGAAGTTGTACGGCGTAAGTGTTGTGGTGGAAGGATCTTACCCACTGAGGTGGGTTGAAAGCTTGGGTTTGTGGAGGGATGTGGGCAGTGAGATATGTTAGTCCTTCTGTGGAGAAATCCAGGGAGACAAAAGGTTAGCTCGAGGAGGAAACAGAGGTTCAAGATGAAGGCAGGTCTGGAATTGAAAATTTTCATGTCAATGGGGGTGGTTTGATGGTTTTAGGAGTAAATGAAGACTGCAGAGTCTCAAAGCCTAATGGAGGGAGTGGGGCCCGTTTGATGTAAGATGAAAGGGTGGCCCTAATGTTTTAATCGATAACTGTTCTGATGTGGTGTGCATTCCAGTGGGAAACATGGATTGTCAATCGAAGAAAAGGGAGGATTTGGAGTTGGGAGTTTGTTCGAAAATTGTACCCATAAATTAAGTTGGGCCACAAGTCCGGCCGGAGGTTTGAGGGGGGCCATTTCTCGAGGAAGGGGTCCACAGAGGTTAGAAGGAACTGGTTGGTTAAGTTATAAGTAAACAAGAAAAAATGGTTTATCTTTCAAATGTCTTAAGCCCAAAAGGTTTGGGATCTCGAACAGATCTGGTTTTAGGAATGGCAATGGAACAGGGTGGGGTTGGGTTTTGCCTGCCCCGTCCCCAACCCCAAACTCAAATGCCTCGTCCCAAACCTTGGCGAGGCAAGAAATTCTAACCCCATCCTTGTCCTCGCGGGGAACGAGGATCTCTGAATTTGCCCCATTCTGCCCCGTTCATTCCTACTTGCATACTTATAAATTTATTTATTTTTTATTTTTTTGAAACCTATCTAGAACTATTTTATATTATACAATATTATATGGTATAATATAATATATAATATTATAATATAATATAACATATATTAATAGTTATATATGTACTATGTTACATAATACAGTCGAGGCGGGTTCAGGGCCAACGTTGGGGTGGGATGGACAAATACCATCCCCGTCCCATCCCCGATCCCTAGAGTTTTGTGAACCCCGATCAATAGTCAAAAACACCCGCCCCAACCGAGGTAGGGTAGAGCGGGGCCCGTGGGGACGGGTCAAATTGCCATCTCTATCTGGCTTGTGCAAGGTGCAAAGAGAAGGGGAGAGCTGGGTTTGAGTGTTTTTCAAATTCAGCAAGTCAAGAAAGAAGAAGGTTGTTTGGTTAAATGGGGAGGAGTTTGCTGATCTTAAGAAGGCTCAAAGCAATGCTCCGCTCGATTTTTCTCTATGTTCTTGTGATCAAGCTTGTGCTGAAAAAGATGATCCTGTTTCATCTAGTACCCAGATGGAGGTTAGGTCGACCAAAGATTGTGATTCTACTTTGCCCTCAAACTTCTCTTTTGATGCAAAGAAGGTTTTTGGAGTGGAGCCTGGGTTGGGGGGAGTGAAGGAAGCCAGGAAGGCAGATGATAAGAAAGAGAATATCGAAGCTATTGGAGGTGCTATAGATGAGGAGATAGTCGAAGATGCAGGCCATAGGGGTGTTCTTTCTCTCAGGAACTCAAAGGATTGACACGGTTCAAGAGGAAAATATAATTATGGTTAGGAATGATGTGAAGCTGTTGACATAAATTTACAAAAGGTGGAAAGGAATGGAAGTTTGGACATTAAGAAAATTGTTGAAAGAGACATTAGGATCGGTAAAAGCTTGGCTTTTTTTTTTGGGGGGGGGGGGTGGCGAGGATTTTGATAGAAAAGCATTTGACGAGTTTGAGAGTAGTAGAAAGGAAGAACGAATGAGGAAAATTGTAGTAGGTGAAGGAGGAGAAATTTGGAATGAAGATGATGATGGGCAGGAGGAAGTGTTTGAGGGGGAGGACTAGGGGCAGCTGCTTTTGGTTTAGATTTTGTATTTGTGTCCTGCTGTAATTCAATTTAGGTTTAGGTGGTGCCTTCTTTCTCTCAGGTGATTTTTTATCACCTTCCTTATGTATTATCCTTTTATTTTTAATGATTTTTTTTGTGATCGTTCAAAAAAAAAAATTGGAAAACTCTCAATTATTAATCAACAAACCATAGACTAGAAACATTTTGAAATGCAATCATGAATTTTTTATTAATTAATATAGTCCCACAAAAAACAATTAATTATATAATGGTAAAAGAGGATTAAAGAAAATCATCTATGCATTCAACCATCAAAAGAAGCATCAAATAAAGGAATTTTAGTAATTTAGCTTATCCTATTCTTCTGATGAAGCTTTTATTAAGTTTACTTCAGTTGGGTTTATCCTCTGTTCTTTTAATAAATATTTCTCCTCTGCACTGTTAATGTCAGACAGATTGCTAACATCCAGAAGGCAGGAACTTCAATGCTTAATATGTTTGCTAGCCTCATGTAGATGGAGAATGATGAAGAAATTGCCAAGAAGTTGAGAATAAATTGCATATTTTATTTATACTGGATATTGTGTACACATCAATTGGTTTATATAAAAAATTCCGGGAAAGTAGTACAGGGAAAAAGGTTTCATGAAAACATGAAAGTTAATAAGAAGATAACAGTTTACAATCAATGTTTCTCATCTTTTAAATATTAAAATTAGTAAAACATTAAAGATAATCTGAAAATGGTTATTGACTGACCAAAATATGAATACAAGTTTTGGTTAAGACTTGGAGAGAGATAGAGAGAGAGAGAGATGAAAGGAAGGTCAAGACAATTTGGACTGCATACTTCAAACCAAAAGAACAGAAGGTAGACAGAAACGAAAAGTTGTATTTTTAAAAACAATAAAATGTGTATCTAAACAATCTCATACTATAAAACGTCTAACCCACAAATGCTTTTAGCTTACCAGAAGCTTATCAATAAGGTCTTTAGCTTCAGCAGAGAAGTAATCTGGAAATCTAATATCTCTGGCTATGATTCTTTGAAATATGAGCCATTCACTGGCATCCTTGAATGGAGAAGTTCCTGAAAGCATTTGATACAAGGTACATCCAAGTGCCCAAAGGTCGTTTCTGTTACAGGATTAACAAATGGTATTATGAAAAGGTCCATCCAATTTGCCACGATGAAACAATTATCTGATATGCATCTCCAGATCTAGAAATGCCCCTTACCCAAAAGTTGCAGGAGAAGAATTAAGGACTTCTGGTGGAACATATGCAGCTGTTCCCACAAATGTGCAAGCTTTATCATCTGGGGGGGAAGTAAACTATTATTGGACCTTCTCAGCAAAGAAATCTCTCCTGTTCTTTAGGACACTACAATAACTTTACCTGAGGATGCATTTGGAAGGACTGTAATTTTGCTATCCTGCATTGGCTTTACGCTACCAAAATCAGCAATTTTTATGTGTCCTTCTGTAGTAAGCAGCAAGTTCTCTGGCTGCCAATAAAGAAATTATTACTGTGTTTGGCATGCCAATGGAACAGAATGCACAGCAGCACATGTAATTAGATGTACCTTAATATCCCGATGGATCAATCCTACACCATGAATATATTCAAGAGCATCTACAACTTCTGCTGCATAGAAGCGAGCTTCATTTTCTGACAGACGACCTTTCTGCATTCATGCATTGATTAGCACCAAAAAATGACATTTCTAGCAGGAAATATAGTGCTAGAAGAACCATAAGCTCCAGAAAATTTAAAATTTACTTACCCTAGTTATTTGGTCAAAAAGTTCTCCACCTTCACAAGATTCAAGTGCCATGTCTTCAAAATATAATAATTAGAACCAGATCAGATAACAAATAAAACAGCACAAGAAAGGAGATAACAAATTAAACAATCTAAGGTACCACATGAAACAAGAGCAATGGTCCACAAAGAAAAGAAAAGATGCAAAGTGAGCATGGAGAAGATAAAATATATAGGATGGAAGAACCAGAATACCTACATAGAGAAAAGGAGTCTTGGAATGTGAAAAATAGTCGGACAATGCCTGGATGATCCAATTGATCAAGTACAATGCGCTCCAATTTCACATACGAAGTTTTATTTTCTTTTGTTATGAATTTTTTGTCCATAATCTTCAAAGCATATATATTTCCTGTGTCCTTCTTCTTTGCCCTCACAACCTGATGTAAAACTTTTCAATACTTAGAGAACAATAAAGGATGAGAAAATTACAATATACAAAAACAAGACATAATTGGTTACTTCAATTCATGCATCTATTTTGCTGCTAACGGTCCAAATAATGACATGTTTCTTAGATGTAGTCCAGCATAAACTGAGGCTTAGCTTTTATTCTAATCAATCCTTTGATATGAAAATAGCTGTTATACTATTAAAGCTTCTCAAGATGAAATAAGAAAAAAAGCAAAGTACAAAATAATCACATGTAATAATATTAGGATAGAACATGTATAGAATGGAATAGAACAGAATGGTGGGACGTGGAAGGGGAAGACAGGGTACTCCAGTAAATCAGGGAGTCCACTAAAGGAGTGCTTACTAACAATGGGCTAACTGATTTATATGCATCAAAATGAACTCATAATATGGACAATTTGGATAGGTAAGTCCTTAAAAGAATGTCCCTTTCCAAAGAAATAAACAATTAAAAATTTTCCAGTAGTCACTGATAAAAAAAGTATTTTCCAGTGGGTAAAAGAGAAAAATATCAATTCTTGGTCAACATTAAGAAACTAAAGGCCATCCAACAGAATGAAGATGAACTCACCCAGGTGGAAAATGCTGGGGAAGATAAAAGTGAACCTCGGGAAGGGTCTGACGATTAGCAATCAATGATATTTAATTCATTGCCAAATTGTGCATGCAACAATATATTTTTTTGATAAATATATGCAATAATATATTGTCAAATAGAAAATGTCATTTCATCATTATTATCTAAATTAGGCACCTATTTTGGCTTGGTAGCATCAATCCATACCTCCATTGTGCTCTATCTACAGCATTTCATATTTAAAAGAATTATCTGCCAAACATTTTGCACTACATGAACCAAGTCCTTTTTGGCTTTCACTTGACTAATTAGGACATTCAATTATACCAAATAACTACAGATTTGAAGATTCATTGGTTTTTATCTTCCAATTGCAAAACCATCTCAGTAAGCATTCCCTTATTCTGCCACCATCCTAAGTTCGCCAATCACCCTGATGCAAGCATTTTAGTTTTTCACCTGGCCTTACAACTCATCCATCTCAAGACTCTAATCTAGTAATCTCTGCCACACCCTTCTTATGTATCACCACATTTGCTCAGGGAAAGAAAAAGGATGTGATTAGAAACTAGAAAATCGGGATTAAGAACAAATAAAATATATTTAATTGTCAATAATTTTTATGCACTCCCAAAACAAGTACAGTTAAGCTTGAAGCTCAGTTTAATTATCACTCCCAAAACAAGGAAGTACAAATCTGAAACAAAATCCCAAATTCTCATATACCATAAAAATTTTGTCAGACAAGTTATTAATGGTCAAAATGAAGAAATTTCGAAGGACTGAAAAGAAACTTAGAAATTTTTAAAATTCTATGATATTGAACCCCATCCCAAAAATAATAATGAATTATAAAACAAATAAGAATACCAACAACTGCAATGATGGTTGGAACAATGACAATAATAAAATTTACTACGCAAACCTCATAAAACATCATCAAGGGCCACAGATCAAGTGGGTGCAGATCTCTCTCCTGGTGACAGATTACAAGGAGAGGCTAACTATACCAGTTTGAGCTTGTCTTACACCACTGGTCCCAAGCCCAAATAAAGGAGGAGGGTTGCATCAGGTTGGCAGTCGTCATTAAAACCTTTGCCAAACTCTCATGATCAAAAAGGAGAGGCTTCCTCAAAAACAAAAGAAGCGCATGTTCAAACCATCAAAACGGCATTTAGGTAGCTAATTTAGTAAAGCCTAGGAAAGTTGGATCTCATGCCTGTATTGAAGTCCCATCTTAACCCTCTACTGAAGCTATCAGCAACAATTTTATTTTCATATATTATGAGCAGAGAAAGAAATTATGCTAAATCATAGATAGTCTAAGAAAGTTCTTTTTTTTTATCAGCAAAAGGATTTCATTAATGGTAGTCTAAGAAAGTTGTACACCATGATTGCATTGAAGTCCTCTCTTAACTCTCTACTTTACAGTTACCAACAACAATTTCATTCCCATAAATCATGGGCAGAAAATAAATTGAACTAAATCATTTTATTTGTTCCATTCTTGGACATTAACCTTAGCTCCAACAATTACTAGGAAGGTATAATTCAAATGCTAGAAAGATGGGAAAGGAAATATTATGCAAAATAAATCATTCAATTGAAACCATACAGAAGGTGTATATAGAATAGATTTTCCCTCCTGCTCACCATCCATTCGTCATTTTTTATTGGAAAATACCAATAACATCAGACAAACCCTCAATGCCACCTGGAAGACAACAAGTATTGAATTTAATAAGAGTTTCTTCTTGATTCCCCACAGCTCCTTGTTGTATGTGAAATATCGCCTGTTCAAAGTGGAATCTTCAAAAGCATTCTAACTTGTTAGATATAATCGACATGGATTATTGCTTTCATGAACCATCACCTTAGCCTTCTTCGTCCAATAGAAAAGATGATTTTTTTTCCAAATTCGCTGCAATTATTTCATAAAACAGGGCCCTTCAAACCAATTTAGGTGGAAAAAATAGAGAGGACCCATCAAGAAAGATTTCCATTTTTTGTCTCTTCAAGTAGGCATCTCAAACATTCAAGCTTCGATAAACTCTAAGCTCATCAATGACAAATGAAAAACAGGTCCCATTAAAGACCAGAAAGGCCTAGAAATTGTTTGATAAAGAAGATAACCGTTCAGGAAAAAAACACCCAATACCACATTCATCGAAAGAATACGATTACCATCATTGCCCAAAAACTAGGACAGAAGGAACAATGGAGGAAAAATGAAAAAGAAATGAAGGGGAAGAAGAAGAGGAAGGACCTTAGAATAGGAACCGACGCCATAGATCTTGCCCAATTCGAAGTCTTTAATGGTAAATTGCTCTTGAGGGGCTCTGAAAGCAAAACTTTTAGATCGCGGGACGCCTACATTGTTGTTCTGAATGCGAAGCTTAGAGTCGACATCTTTCTCCATTTCTCCAATTCCTTCACCTTCACCCTCACCCTCAACCATCTCTGCCATCCTTCGCTTTCTTCCACAGACACTCTCCCACTCTATATACTACCTCTAGCATCAAATTCTCACTTTCTCTCCCAGCAGCAATCTCTTGAAACAAGACGACAGAAGAAATGAAGAATGAGAGAGAAACAGAGAGAAGAGTGTCAAGGGGTGGTAGCGTTGCAGCTGTTGCTGCTGTTAACAAATCAAAACACGGCCTCCAACGAAGGGAAGACGGTCAACGAGAACCCAAATAACCCATCAGATTCCCTTCTTTGCCAATCTGATAAAGCGGTAATAAAGCGACGGTTCCATCTGACCACCTCTCAGCCTTTACTTTCTTTGTTTCTTTCTCTCCTGCTTTCCTCCTTTGTTTTTCTTCCAATCCAATCTCCACCAAAACAAAACAGCTGCAGACGAAGAACAACAACCCACCTGGAGAATTGGAAAATTAATGTTGATTTGACCTTCTATTAATAATGGGTGTGTTTTCTTTCTATCCTTCACTCCTTTCCTCTTATCCAATGAATCTAAATACAATACAATCTCAATCCAGACATTGGTTCTGATGCTCCCCTTATACAATACTAACCAATATTATAATATGGAATATTACTTTGTTAAATAACAGATATAATAAAATAATAATAAATGAATAAATTAAGAAAATTAATGAAAAAGGGATGAATATTGATTATTGAGATGGATGTTGGATGGTGGGAGATGGACATTGGAGAAGAAGAGCCCATATATTTGAGTGATAGGTGGGTCATTTTCACAAACCCTAAAAACCTTTTTTGATGCTGATTATTGGGATATCCTCCAAACAGCATCTAATGCTTCCATCCATTCTCCATTCTCAGAAATTGAACAAAGTTGTACGGATGAGAGAGAGGGAAGAAATAAAACCAAACATTTTTTAATAATAATATTATTATTATTATTAGTATGTGTTATTATTTTTTTAGAAAAATGATAATATTTTCTAAAATTAGAGGGCCTCCAAGATAAGATTGTGAAGTAGAAGGGGGTAGGAATACGAATTTTTCTCACTGATTTCTGTCCACAAAGAGAGAGACTAATCGGTAATTATTCATTCTTTGAGGTGGGATATAGTAAATCCGCTTTATGTACATTTTGTATTGGATGAATCCCACAACGGTCACCTCTGTATTTGTCCTATCCCTCATGTGTATTTTAGCAAGAAGATGCATATTATGCTAAGGTGAGTGGTGATGGCTACTACTTGTCCATCCCCACTCTTTATCTACTTTTTATACATGTAGGTCATATCCACTGTCCAGCCATCCAGACTTATTCAAGGGTAGACATATTAAACATCCAATCCAAGCAAATCATTATTCAAGTAGGATGCATCTACTAGAGAAAAGTTGTTTAATAAGGTTATCAGACATGCTGTTAATATTTTTTCTTTCTTTCTTTATATAATATATATATATATATATATATATATATATATATATGGAGAGAGAGGGGGGTTGGGGTTGGGGGAGTAGCAAGGAGCTTTCAGGTTGGAACTTATCTTATGTCACCAAGATCTTTTGGCCAGGTGACATGAGTGTTTGGAAAAAGTAAAGTTAAAAGGGAAGAGGTTTCCTAAATGGTTTAAGTTGGAATTCTTTTCACCCATTGACTTGTATTCTAACAGTGTGAAAGATGGTGTGGCCAATGTATATCATCTATCAATCCAAAGATCCTTTGGATTGACAAGGTGTCAGATTGTCCAATTCAAGTCAGCTTTACCATGTATTGGACCTTTGAAGCTTTAGATTTCTAATAATACCCCAGAAAAGAGAAAAGGTCTTTCCTTTGGTAAAAAATGGAGAATAATATCTTTTCTATCAGTAACTAAGTTGTCTTTCATATAGAAATATTCAATTGTTCATATTCATCAGACTGGTTGACAATTATTGAATTGATGGTAGAAAAAAACTCCTTGTCTCAATTATTGAATTGATGACAATAAAGAAAAAGAAGAACAAGAGCTTGGAACATATTACAATCATATGAAGGCTATATATATGAATAGGTTTAAATGTATCATTGCATATCATTATATATATATATATATATATATATATATATATAACAATATATAGTTTTTAAGGGACATCCATATATTATATATTGAGAATTGACTGGGTTTAAATGTCTTGAATGATAATTTGTGGTGTGACATTAACCCCTATAACATGTCAGAATGAAAAAGAAAAAAAAAATTAGAGTTTCAGTTGTTTGATTTGCATGTATCAATACTTTGAACCTTGAATAGGAATTGATATCAATTTGTCCATATGCTCTTGATATAGCACAATGGTGGGACAGGATTCTTCTAAACAACCCCAAACAGGAAATTAAACTAAAAATTTGTGGGGAGTCACCCTTTAACTCCCCTTTAGATTGGTCCCTGGTTGTGACCATGGTTACCAAATACCTATATTTAAAAAATACAGCAAGGCAAAAAGATTATGTATAGTTGGATTTCAGATAAAAGTAGAGCCAAAACAAAGCCATACATAGTAAAAAAAGATGAGTTAAAATCATAATAGTTGCATCTGTAATTTCTGCTTTTCTATTTACAAAATTCATAAAATTTTGAAAGACACTAAGTAGCAATAAATGAGGATTCCATGTTTAGTGAGAAGGCATTGTTTTTAGTGTTGGGGTAATTATATTTCGTTTAAATTTTATGAATTCAATGTTTGGAACTCATTGTAACATGAAGAACCACAACCTGCTCAGTTGTTTGGTTCTATGATTCTAGGCGCTGCATTTGCCTGGTGAAAGTTGAACTGAACTTGAATTGGATTCCCTGCCTCAATTCCATATAATTTCAATTCAGAGGTGTTAAAAAATCACCTCTTTTGCAAATTCTACTATGATGAAAAAAAAATCCAGAGGATGGAACCTGGAGACGCACAGAATTGAAAATTCCAGTTCTGGACCAAGTTACTTTTTCCTTTTGAGGGGCTACATTACTTTGGTTGTCAATTTTACTGCTTTGCTTGGTGGTTGTGCATTTTCTAGGTGGGCTTCCCATGCTTGTAGGGATTGAATCCAATTGAGGTTCGAAGTATCCATAGCTAAATGTGTGGCCAATTTTGAAGGTTAATACGCTTCCTAGAGATGTCTTGGCTCAATTCTTGAAATTTAAAAAAATTTTAATCTAAGAATATCACCCTTCCAACCGTGGGATACACAACGCGTATTGTGCGTGTCAATACTTTAAACCTTGAATCCAACTGCAAAGAACATTCATTTGTTTTCATTTGTTTTTCTAAGAAGTAAGAACAAGGGACAAGATGCCTGGTCTAGAAGTTTGAAAAATTCTTTTTTTACAGTACATGTCAGCTGGGTTGAAACCAAAGTAGTAGATTTATATGCCTCCAACTGTGTGTGTGTGAGACAGAGAGAGGGGGGAGGGGGGAGGGGGATGGGTGAGGCATTTCATTTTCTCTGGCAATTCATTTGAAAAGTATGGCATCATTTCAGCCATCTCTTTAGTAAGAGCAGAGGACCCCGCACGCCTTGGATATGCTCCTCCAACTACTGCCAACTAAAGGGTACAGTAGAAGTGGAACGATCATATGGAATCTATTGCTTTTTGTTGTCCTTTGCTGGTCTTTATGGAAAGAAGGAATCAATGACCAGAGAGCTCTTTGTAGATAGAGGGTCATGGTCAAAGTGGCGAAATTCTTATCTGCCTGGCCAACTTGCTTAAAAGAAGTCCAAAATATTGAAGTTTGTGCATGGTAAAATCTCGGGCTGATGAGCACGAGAATGCAGGTTCGAGTTGGAGAGCAGCCACTTCGCGCAAAACCCTAGATATCCAGCCAAGACCAGCATTGGGTAATGTCAACCATGTTACAATAACATGTTAAGTATAAGATTCTCTCAAACATGGGTATGGAGCAGCTTTGTTATCTACTGCCCGAAGCCTTTCCAAAGTTCCCTCTTTTCCAATGTAACTAGGTTGATTCTCATTGGCCTAAGGCTGCATCATTGCATCTTGAGCCATGACCCTCTCAAATTCTGTTGCCAAGAACTAATAAAGAGAACAATGGCAGCATTATCATCATATGCTTGGATTGCCTTTACATGGGTTTAATGCCAGTAGGCTGTAGAGCTAACATTTCATGAAGCTTCTGGCATTGTGGGCTTTGCCTACAGAGCTGCTCCCTTTGGAAAAGATGGCAACAGCTACAACAATTTGCCAACCCCACAAATTATTTCCTTATTGAAGTAACAATTTTAATAATAGAAACACATATGAAGTGAACCTGGGCAGAAAATGAGGAAGGTCGACAGCCCATGCTAGTTCCTTCTGTAATTAGTGTTTCAGACTTCCACTAGAAATCTATGAACAAACGCTTGATTGGATAAGTTGTGCTGATAAAAAAAACAGAATAAATAAATCATAGATAGAGTCATGGAGGACATCCAAGCAGGTCCAGACACATCTTTGGATATTTCCAGTTAGACCTGTTAACCCAATAATCTAGCCCAGTTGATTTTAATGAGGCCAGGCTTTTGTGGATCAGAATCAGACATTTTCTTTACTGTTTGTTAGGGGAAAGATATTTGATCAAATGGCATATTAACCCAACATGGACCATCTCTGGACCAATAAGCATTGGTAGAAAAATCCAGTATGAGGCTGGTTCCATCTTTTAGGCCGACCAGAGGGTCTTAGCATTGGGTTGAAGCAATACAATGCCAACTCTCCATCAATAGGATGACCCTGTAAGCAAAATAAGGTGAGCAGTTAGAACTTCTCTTGGTCTTCATCTCAACCTATCATGATTCATGCAAGCCAACCAATAACCTGGCTATAGTTAGCAATTACTCAGAGCCAAAAGTTGATATGTAAAATTGGGCAGAGCCAAGGTTAGCAACCATTAACTTTGCATTATGTTTTCTCCACATTTGACTGCAAAATGTTAACATTGTCTTCCAAATAAGGAGGGGGTGGCGCCACCCCCTCCGAACGTAGAGGCTCCACACTTGATTGTCTTGATCTCTAGCATTCCCCCTTCTAAACCGAAAAAAAGGCCATGACCCAATGTCTGTGCCGGCCATCTGGGGTCTCGCAGGGGTGGATTGGATATAGACCTAACCTTTTTTTTTCTCTCACAAAGTGGCTGCTCTTAGACTTGAACCCTCTTCTGAATAATATTTAATAAATACAAAACTAGCGGAGTATTGAATAGATAGAATTTTACTTTCAAGAACTTGCCAACTATAAAAGAGAGTTCACTCTCCTTTTCATTCTGTTCCAACATTTCTTTTTCCTCTCTGTATTTACAATCATACTCCCAAACATGAGTTCAAATCAGCCCCCACAACACATCCCCACCGTGTATGGGAACATCTCCCCATGATATTACCAGAAATGATGATGTCTTCATCTGGAGATGCTCCCAATACACCGCAGAAATATGCTGTGGGACTTTATGGGGGGGCTGATTTGATATGGGGGGGCTGATTTGATCTCCCCAAACATAAAATTTTCTTTTTGGTACACTATCATATGACTTTGCTTAGCCTCTATTTCTCCATTCAAAAGGTGTTTGGTATGGCTGGATTCATGCCTAATGCATTCACACTGCTCGCACAGCTGTGCATAATGGGCTATGTAACCAATCACAAATGAACATGCCAATGTTTTATATATATATAACACTGACTCGTGTACACAGAAACACGGGAAACACTGGCTTGTCCACTTGTGATTAGTTAAATAGCCCATTACACAGCAGTGTGAACTGTAGATCCAGAATCATGCTAACAAGGCATTCAAGGTGTTTTTGTTACCTTTCAAAAAAGTGTTTTTGTTTTTATCATTACAAACCAATCCAGGTGAAGGTGGGAATTAATCCGCTACAACCAGCCGGAGACCTTACCACCTAGGCCACTTTGATACTTTCATATTATCATCCTAGATAATATGAAAGGGTAATAGGGGTGTAAACGGATGGAATTCGAATGGAATCAGATAATATCCGAATTCGAATCCAATTAAAAAAATTGATATCCAAATTCAATTCGATTTTCGATGGATATTGGAAATTAATATTTGAATTCGACCAATTAATTATTTTAAGTAATTAATAAACATATAAAATAAATATTTTATTTATATAAAGTATATAAATATATCAATTATTTATAATTTAATTATCATATATATAAATTATATAAATATTTAATTATTTTATATAAGAATTAAATAATCAATCAAATCGAATCAGGTAATATCCAAATTTGAATCCGATGAGCTATTCAATATGAATAAAATATCCAAATTCAACATGCAATTAAATGATTAATATCAACTAAACCAGAAATAAATGAAAATCGGAAAAAAAAGGCGTAAAATCATTGAAAAGGGTAGTTTGGGGATTTAAAAAAATTTAATTGACGAAATGCCATCAGAGGGGTCCTTGTCAGACGCAATCTAAAAGCTCAGGGGTCTTTGTCGCAAATAAAAGTTTAGGGGGGTTATTTGCCACTACCCCCCAAAGTAGAGGATAGTGACCTGCAACTTACCCTAAAAAAATCTTTCTACTTTCTTACACCAACTCAACCATCTTCATACACTTGCATCCTTTCCACCTCTCATCTCTCACTCCATTTGGTAGAGCTCCCATTTACATAGACTTTTCCTTTTGGATACACAATCGGTAATTACTTAACAGTTAACACAGTCCAGATTGGCATCATGTGGAATATCATTTGGTCAACCTTGTTATTAAAGAAAGAAACCAACCAAAAAGGAAAAACTAAAAAGAATGTAAGAAAACTTGGCATCTCTTGTATCATAAGTTGAAAAGTTGATCATTTGGTCACTTAGGCTAGGCAAACTAGCAATGAAAAAGAATAATCCACTAATGCCCAGGGGAAGAATGACCATTTTTTGTTTCTTTCTAACAATTTATGAATTTCGTTTTTTTCTTTGCTATTTCTTTCAACTGGAGACAGTTTCTGGAAAGTAAAAGCAGACTATTTTTTGTAACCAAATGAAAGTTTTTTTCTATATCTTGGTTTTTTTCTTCCAAAGTATGAAAGAAGAGTACTATTTCTTTTCATTAAAGCTACAAAATAAATGAAACATTTCCTCTAACAAATAATAGAATCACTTTCAACCGCTTGTACAATCAAATTTCATGGGAACTTACACTGCACACACACAAGCCCATAAGATCTTTTTTCTCTATTTCTTCCAAAGTATGAGAGAAGAGTACTATTTGTTTCATTAAAGCTACAAAATAAATAAAACATTTCTTCTGACAAATAATAGAACTACTTTCAACCGCTTGTACAATCAAGTTTTATGGGAACTTATGCTGCACATCTAGGTTCCCACTAAGGCATTAATACAATAATACCTCAAACGGATGGATCAAGCTGTTTCTGAAGTTTCTTTCTTTTCCATAATCCACTTCAGCTTAGGCTGCTACAATTCACAAAAATGTTTGTTGCATCAAATCAGATACTATCGCACTACTCAGTTCTTTAATGGGCAAAAGAATCCTAAAGGATTGCCCTCAAACCATCCCAAGCATTTCGTGCATTCAGGACACACATCAGTGGTCTCAAAATTGTGATTTTCTTTCTGTTTCTAGAATGCCAACATCCAACCAACCTTTCAACCAAGCCCACACTGACCAAACATCACCCCATAAAAAAGTAAAGACATGATACCATTAATGTACATCAACTAACCAAAGCTACTGATATCCCCAAAAACCACAGCCCCCAAAAAAGGAAAAAAAATAGATACAGCTTACAAGAAAAAAATAATAACAAAATATTAGAATAAGAGCAAAAAGAAACCCCAAAATGAAAAAGATAGGTGGCAAGTCACCTGTTGTTAATTCCTTCTGCCTATACATCCCAACCATCTTTCCGACCGTCAAAGTCACATTTCCGATTAGCCAGAGTCCCATACATCTCGGAGAACTTGAGAAGGCAATCACTTCTTATCTGATAATGCACCTGTGTGTTACGGCTGATTGCCGCACCAGACAATTTTGATGTGTCAATGGCCCATGTGGGCTTCACATACTCAACTGTCCTTGATGAACTAGCATTGGCATACAAAAAATTCATAAGCACATCCTCACAGTTGAAGTATTTGTCCACAACCTCCCTTCCTGCTTTGGCTTCTTCACTCCAATACCTCTTGAATGCTACCTTACTGTCAATGAAAGCAGCCCCTGTCAATATCATGTTGTACCCTTTGTGGGTTCGAGCATACTTCTCATCCCTGTATTTCAGTGGGTTCCCATTGATGAGTCGTGGATAGAAGCCAACTATCCTATCTGGGTGTTCCCGCCATACCCTGAACCCTCGTTCAACATCATCACATGTCATCATGATGTCATCATCCAGTTCAAGAACAGCCCTGGTTTTTATCAATGGATCTAACTTGAACCGATTGTTCAAAGAGTTCTGTTTTTCTACTCTGATCCTAACAGGCACCACTGAGTCAAAGTCACTCAACTCAGGAGGTTGGCCTTTGTTCCACACCACAACAATTTCCTTCACCGATGAACACCTTGAGTAGTGTTTCACATACATCTTCAAATTCCATAGGCGAGCTTCATAAGTCATTGTTATTAATGTGAATTGTGAATAGGCACCCTTCCAAGGGTAAGGTTCCTCTGCACCATTGCCACCATATATATTTCTAACCCCCACGCACGTTAGCCACACCCCTATTACAAATATTAAAGCAAGAACTGATTTTCCAGCACAGGTGCTGGGCTTCATCCGGCCTCTAAAAAATGAACTTGTCCTGTTCAAGCGAGTACAAAACCGCCTCAGCTTGGAAGAGAACAAATGTGGACGCTCCCAAACTGAAAAGGCATCACTTCTCTTTACAGAGCTGTGGGGGCACCAGCTAAGGGGTATGATGCATTTAACAGCACCCAGCAATACTCCCACTAGTACAATCAATGCAGCCAGAGCTGCAAATGCAGCAGAGCCTAGGACAAACCTGTAAACAGAATCTCCTGAAGGAACACGATCTCCATCCATCACTCCAACCCACTCACCAGAGCTTAGCTGTTGCACATCCAGGTGATGGTAACGAGCACCATTCCAAGCATTACGGCCTTTTTGAGGCTCTTCCATGCCTAGTGGGACCTCAACTTCCCTATATTCATCTTTGGTAAGAACCTCCACCTTGAAGACACGGACTCGCCGCCCATAAGTTTCACCACAGTCTTGACCCAGACGATAAAGCTTTCCATTGTATATAAATGGCCTACCGCCATTTCGAGCTCCCAAGCTCTTATCAGTGTTATAAATAGGGTTTCGTTTGTGTGGTTTCCAGGGACCAAGGGGGGAGCTACTATACCAGATTTCCAGCTCCCCATTCTTCTTGGTTCCAAAATCACTATGATCTGATCCGAAGAGCCAGTAGTTACCATCATGGTTTATGATAACAGAATCCACAAGAGGTCTCTTCAGGATAACCTTGTGCAGTGCCCATTGCAGGGGGAAGTTAATTGCACGATATAGACGGATTTCACCTTTCTGACTGCTTTCTGGCATCATGTATATCTGTTGGAAATAAAATTCAAAACCAAACAGATCAACTTCAGGGTCCTCAGGAAGGAGAGGATAGAATTAGATAACTAAAAAACTTAACTCTAAGACAACAAAAACAATTAAGACTCATAAACAAGAGGAGTTGATCTTACATCGTCATGATGGTTAAAAACATATGGATAAGAGAGATGCCAATCCTCATCCAAGGCAATGCCCAAGTGCTGCCATGTTGCACCCCCATCAGTACTTTTTGCAACTCCAATATCTCCTTGCAAGGTTACTGAATTCTTGGTTTCGTAAAACAGAAAAAGCATATCACCCTAAATCACAATGCAAGAACATGAGGAGATTTTAGCAAGACTAAATAAAAGCACAAAAATCAGATTATTTACAATAATGGATGGACAAAAAGTCATTCCTTAACCAAAAATCAGGCAATAGCTTGTTTTAGTCCCCAATAATAGGTCAGGTACTCAGGTCTAGACTAGCCATGTCAGGCCAGCCCTGACACCAGACAAAAGTCATCACAACCATGAAACTGTACAAGATTTCAAGCTTCAATATTAATCTTAACTGCACTGCTATCGTGGGATTTATTCATAGAATGTTGTAAAGTAATGGAACATTATAATAATAGTGGAAATAAAGATAAAATCTTAGAAAATGTTTGACATTCTGTTTTTCTTCCCTTTTTATCAGTTATAGGTATAGATATAGACTTATAGTGAATTAGTGATTGCTATTGATATAGAAAAATGAGATACCCAACATCTTAAGATGTATGGGGTGGGAGAAAACAGTAAAACAGCACTAAGCTGGTCATACTATAACATTGAAAACACAACAAAAATTTACAAGTTAGACCTGGCCAGCTTGCCCTCAAACTCAAACCAGATCAGTCCTAGTTACCCCATTCTCTAGCAAGAGAATCTGCATGGTTATTTGCTGCCTTTGGTGTCCACCTGAACAAGAAATTTAAGCTTCTTGACAACTCCTTCACTTTTCTACTTGTGAACCTTAGGGCCCAAGGGACAACTGTTTTCAACAATGCCAGCTAATAACCACTCCACAATCCCCTTCTACTGACAAATTATGGCACCCATTGAAAATCCAGATTCAATCCTTGGAGGGGTGCTAACAGTTCAACCCTTAAAAGTGTTACTTCACCAACTCAACCTAAATCACTAAGCAGAATATTTCTAGCATGATGTCCACATCCCACCCCCAAGAAAAATAAAGAAAAGAATCCAGAAAAAACAAGAATAGCTAAATAACACCCATCAAGATTCAGCTTTATCCTGCCTAGTTATGGAGATACCCATGTTTTTCTCAGGTTTCTTGTGGGAGCAAAACTAGAAACCTTCCACCAGCCTTCCAAAATAGAGTCCATAGAGACTCACTCCTTCACATTCCTCCCTAGTCTGACTAGCCAAAAAAATCCCCTAGTTAACACCCAATGTGCAATTCTTACCATGAACAAGTGGACGATAGTATTAACATCCTGATCCTTGTTTTCAAAAACTTTAGCATTTTATTCCCCACAAATGCTTTTGCACACTTACCAAATGCAGCCTAAGTTGTAGCCATCAAAATTCAACTTGATAATAGGTAGAATGGGAGGCATACACAGAATAGGTAGTCTTGTCCTTGTTGTAGAGGATGTAGGCTTCCCAGTTTTTAATAATGTCATCAGTAAAGAAGCAAAGATAGGCATATTCTTCACACAACGTGCCACCCTCATCATGACATTTTTTTTGAAAGGTAAAAGAAAAATACTCATTAAAATAAAAAGATGAATACAATCGACAGCGGGTGTTAAGGCAACACAAGGATCAACCCAATCCAAACATAACAATCCAAAGATGAATACAATCAAAAGAAAAAGGAAACACACAATCCAAAGCTCTTCTTGGTAAATTAATCTTCTTCCAAAACTACAGAACCACAAACTAATGGACAGATGCCCAAAGCCCTTTGTCAACTTGCCAACACCTTTTTTTATCAGCAACAGAAAACATGGTTTTATTAATTAGAAGAAAAATTTACAACATCTTGAGTAGCCTCCGCTACCCATAACAACTTAGAACAATATCAGAAAAAATTTCTTATATTACAGATGCCGACTCGCCAACACCTTACTCATCTTCTTCAAATGCCTTCTTCCTGCCAACTTCCTATCTCGTTCCATGCCCCTCCACCATCCCCTACTATGATCTCCTTTAGTCTCTCCTCCCTTTTGATCCTTTCAAAAGCTTCAAACGCTCATCTAACAAACTCTTCTCCACCCCAATAGAACAAACCTAAAACTCTAACATCTTTAGCGGCTAGATTCTCGATCTCCACCAATCCACCCTTTTCATCCTTGCTATCTAAACTAACCTAATTGAGTTTCTTCTCTTCCACACCTCCCCCCCCCCCCAATCCTTTTCAAAAACCTCTGACCCATCTATTACCTCTAATTTTTCTCAAATACAACTAACTAATTGTTAGGAACCTGCCTAACTCAGGGCTCTTCGAGAGAGCCAACCTCCTGAATTCGTTGGATGGAGAGAGGGAGAGAGAAGGAGATTAATGCCGAAAGAATTCCTCCCTTATTTCTCTTTGTGCTTCACTACTTATACTGTTTACAATCTTTGAGTTCTTTCTGTTACAGCTGTTGCAAGTGGACGATTAGTTGTGCTGACGTGGCCTCCTCTTGTAAAACTGATTAACTGCTTTCTGTTGGTCTGTTCCAGTAGTCTTTACACTAATGAGTCACTACCCCATCTAACGCTTGAGTCTCAGAACCTCTCTCAACCATCTCCATCGAACCCTTGAATTCTGATCCCTTTTAGACTCTCTTCAATTTATTTGTTGGACCAATTACTACCAGGCCCCCTTTCAGTCTTAAAAAAATAGTAACATGCATCAAGTGGAAATTATTTGCAACTCTAGCTTTCTTCAACACCTCTGATTCACCCACAAAAACCTTCAGAGCTTTCTTCAACTCCTAGCCTCCCAACTGCTACTTCAGTTCTTGAAAACTCCTCACATCCTCCAACCGCTCCATTCTCTTCATCTTTATCAACATCCTTAGGATCACAACTAACTTCCAAGCCGCCCCCTTCAATCCTCTCACCTCTCCCATACCTCCCTCTCCTTTTTTAACACTCCCACCCCCCTTACGTCTTCTGCTACTTCTCCTCCCAAATTCGTCTTCTCTTTCTCTATCCACTCTTCAAATCCTGCATCAGCCTGATTAACCGAATCCTTCCTCCCTTCCTGAAGCACTCCATCTTGAAGCTCGACCCATAAAGAACCAAAGCTTAACCTTAAAGCAGTACCTACCTGTTGACCCTATTGACTGCATTCCTCCCTAGCCACCAAAGCTCTTCCTTCACTCTGTGCACTTGACGCACTCAACACGATCAACAACTTGCAATTAACAGAGTTTTAACACTCTTCACCATCGTCTCAAGAAACCTCTAGCTCTGAAAGCACCTTTTCTCTCCAATCTAGTCATATCCAACGGCCCTCCAAATCCACTCTTCATTCTTCCTTCTTCAAGCTTTGAATTGGGCTCTTCTCCCAAACCTTGAAACCCCTTCCTTTGAATATCTTAAGCTTGTTCCATCACATATCTCTATATTTAACCAAAGCCTTCAACTTTAATAGGTGGACCCCACTCTTGAGACCAACTTCATTAAACCCCTTACACAACCCTTCAATACCCTCCTCTAGCTTCCCCCTCTCAAAGACCCACGGTTCCACTTCTTCCTCGCCTCCAACCTCCACGTCTCTCTAAAGAAGAATCCTCCCCAACCACCTTCAATCCTCAAAAATTGTTCTGCCTTTTCCTCTTCAAACCTAAAAATCAAAGATCCTCCCACATGCCATTCTACCCACACAACACCTTCTACCTTCCCTCCTAAATTACCACTTTGCCCCCCATCTTTGTCAAAACATTATCCTCTTCCTCTAACTAAATCTTTGTATTCCTTCCACCTTCACACCTATGAAGCTCCTCCCATAACCCCTTTCTTCTCCCCTCCATCTCAACCTTTCCATTTTCCTCTTCTCTCACCACACTGAAAAAAGTCGGGTCATCCCCTTCTAAAAAACACTCTTATATCATAAGTTTCCCAAGCACATTGAAGTTCCACCATATTCAGGATTCTAGTGATATCTCTACTTCTACTAGGATTCTATCAATATCCAACTTCTACCACGTCCTATTCTTGTCACCGTGCTTAGGAAATTTGCCACAAAGCTCCCCAATTTTGAAGGTGAGTAAATACCAAGCATGGAGGGGAATTCCCGTCACCCCAATCCACATAGCTCTCCTCCTATCGCCACAAATAGCCCCTGCCGCTAGGAACCATCTACTCAAACGTAAGTCGAACTCCCTAACCCTCTCTTTTTCTGACTACAAGACCCAATCTGCTAGGCTCTATTGTTAAACATGAAAAGAAACAAACCCCCATTGAGTTTCCTTACCCCCCAGAACTATGTTCCTTCCCCATTCAAACAACACTCAATCTTCTACCTTCTTAGCTTCCAGCTCGACCCCGACAAACCTTCCTATCAGACTCGCTTCTAGAACTTTCTTTTTTTTGAGAGAGAGAACGCTTCTAGCACTTTCAATCTCTCGCTCACCTTCCCAGCTTGATTAATATCAACACTTATCACATCACGTCTCCTTTCTGACTGCATTATCACTTATTGTATGGCTTCAAAACTTGGAGTGTTCCTTATTTTTCTCATCACGACAGTTTCCATCAGTGCTTCCTTAGCCTGACTCTTGTCTTTAAATATCCTCACATTTGTTCCTCCCAAACTGTCCAGAAGATAGCTGCTCTTGTACATCTCCATAAGAATTTACCTCTTTTCATTTGTGAGGAGAAAATGAAGTCTTGAATAAGCTTCCCAAACCTACTAGGGGAGTCCACCTACAACCAAATAGCGAAAAGAAGAAATCCCAAATACAGAAACAAGCAGACAGCAAATTGGTAATGGTAAATGTATGGTAGTCACACAACTTGCTCTGCATAGAACATATATGTTGGGAGAGATACACCAATTCAGCCTTTTTTTTCTGTAAATGATCGTATCCACTCTTTACTTTAACTTCTATTAGATTAAATATCTTCCAACTAGTTCTTCTAGGCAATCAAGAACGTCATTTTTACACAGATATTATGGCCCAAAAGACACCCCATGGGATTATTTTCCCATTTCTTTTGTCTTCTTTCCCTAGTTTGCCACTTGAAGATGGAGCCAAAACAGACTCCAGCATTTTAAGATTTGTAAGATCTTCTCAAAGGCTTTGAAAGAATGTTCTTGCCTAGCCATGAATAACTGTTGCATCAAAGTGCTTTTAGAAACATCCATAGGGTAAGAAAGGAATAGAAGCTTACCTAACCCTAATAAGACTACACAAAACATGATTGAGGCAACAATGGAAAACTCCCTTCAGCAAGTAAAGCACTGTAAAATGGACAGATGATGCCTTAATGATGTACAAATTTTGTGGCTTACACCCAGTGCTGTCAATGGTCTGGGTCAATCCAACAGACCTAAACCAATCAAACCCTATTCCACAAGGTATGGGTTGGCATTTTTAAGTCCAGTTTATCAATAGGATCAATTCTGGGTCAACATTTCAAGTCCCAAGTATAATAGATTTAGGGATGGTTTTACCTGTTACAACCCAACGAAGACCCAAACTGGTTATATGTTTTTCATGGTTTACCTATAATAATTTCATACAAGATGTCTAAACTCTAAAGTTGTCATTTTATAGAGGATAATATAAGATATTTTGGGGGAGAGGGTTTTTTTTTATCAATGCTTAGAAGAAATTTTCATTAAATTAACTAAAGAGGCACAACAAGTAGTTGTGAAGGTTACAAATAGACACTAACTGTTCAACCCCCAAAGGCCAGTCATTTTACCATTCAAGCAGTCAAATAACTCATGCAATAAAGGCAGAGTAATGTCAATTGCTGGAAAAGGAAAAATGTAGTGGCCACTCTAGGCCAGGACAAGAATGCCTCCATCACCTGGGCCAAAGTGGAGCATGCACCACCAAAAACAATTCCAACAGGAAGTCCAATATAGGTAGACCTTTTGGTCCCATTGGCAAATCATACTGAAGCCCTTATCTTCTACTCCTCCAATTGTTCCCTCCAATTCAAATCATCAAAACCCTACCCATCAGTGACTCGAAAACAAGAGATAGGGTGGAGGAGCTGCTGCCTGCTGGTTTAGGGAACTTCCAGCTTGAGTCTCTTGACTTCCAAGAACCCATCCACTTCTTCAGCACTAAACTGCCAACAAGAACCCCTCTTCACTCTTCATCATTTTATAAGCATTACATAAGCTTGTTCCATAGAGATATACCAACCTAGCATCAAATACAAAATTCAGATTACACGCTCATTATTCTCATAAAAAAAAAACTTTGTGGCTATGCATGATTCTTGAATTGCCTTGATATCCAAAACAAAGCAACAGGGACTCCGATCAATAAAAAGTCAAAGTCCTAGGGACAATGAAGTGACAAAATGGAAGAAGTGTCTGTGTAGTCGGACACACATCAGAATATCAGATTCAAAAACTCCACTTTTGAAGAGCAATAAAAGAAACTTTATTAATAAGAAAAAGGTTTTACAAAAAAGGAGGTGACAAGATGACACCTCAAACACTCCATGCATTCTTAAAGGAATTCCTGCATATCATCTTTGTTTTTCCGCAGTTGCATGTTTGACATAAATAAACAGCTAGGTGTATTATGAGTTCAATTTTTTTAAGGTCCTAGTAGTTACTATGAACTTTTTCACTTTTTCATGCTGTTTTCCTCCCACCAGGTGCCAGTATAATTTGCTAGAATTCCAAGAAGAAATACAAACTATTCGTATCCTTGTAAAACTGCTTCTGAAGCTTCCTGACAGTTTTCTTTCACAATTACTTTTTTTCATATATTTAGTTCTTTTTTCTCTCATCTATTACCATCTTAGACAGTGTTACCGCTGGATATGAATGTCCTAAAAATTAATAAAAGTTAGAGCCATGAAGTATTTGGGACCAAAAGCTATATGTGAGTATTAACTTAATGAGATTTAAAGCATTGAGAAAATCCATCAAGCAATCATGAACCACCAAGTGGGTCGTTCCAATGACAGCTAACTCGCTTAGGACCAATCAAGACTAACAGGAAAACATGAAGTAAATAGAATTAAAGCATATCCACATGCATGTACAAGACAATCCAAGAAGAGTACCTCTATTGCAAGTTAAAATCAGAAATCTCAATCCAATTACTGTTTCATCATTGACTGAAATTGTCAGAGTAAGAGTAGCAATATTTACTCTAACCAATTATAATAACAAAACACCTAAAGAACATTGATAAAAAACACAAATAACAATAACTAGAAAAGCTAAGGAGAAGAAAGAAATTGTACCTGAACGTAGAGAAAAGGATCAGCCACAAAGTTGCTAGGGAATCCAGCATCTGAAACTGAAGCACAAGTAACAACTGGGTTTGATACGGGCCATGCTGCGCTTTCATCCTTCCACACATTTTTCTGTTTCCGAATCCGATCCATGCAACCAACCCATCAACCAAAACAATCAACCAGCAAAACCCGGAGCCAAAAACAAAGAACCAATCAAACAAAACCTAATCTAATCAACACAAAGTAAATATGAAAAGGACTTACAGACTCAATGGGTTTCAAAGAGAAAGGAGAGTCCCCATAGAAGACGCCGACCGACCATGAACCCTCAGAATCATCTTGGCAACCGAAGGAAGAAAGAAACGGTCGTTCATAAGGAGAGAAAATAAGCCAAGCGTAAAGAGTAGCCACGGATCCAAACACAACAAAGGAGACGAGAATGAAGAGAAATGTCGAGGAGAGGAAACAGTGATCCCATCTCCATCTACACCGGCACTTGAGACTCATATCACAGCAACTGCTCCCGTTGCTGCTGTTTCCACCGTTAACTGGGCTGAAACCCATAACCGAGAAAAACCAACAACTCCTCTAGGCAACGCGATCTCATAAACAATTGGCTTCACCAAAAATCCCCCCTGAGAAAAATAAGAACAAAGCGAACAACATTGCATTTGAGGAACGTTCGCAATGAGGGACGAAAACGACGGATTGATGCAGACCCTCCTCTTCTTTCCCCTCTCCCTCCCTCCCTCCCTCCTCGGTTACTTTTCTTCTTCCTCTTCTGTTTTCTTTCTAATTTGTTATGCTTGATAAATATGAAAGGGAAGTGACAAGCAATTGTAGGCCCGGAGAAAGGCAAAGCCCAAAGTCAGACTGCCGCGAAGCTTCTTCCCACTGTCCCATTTGCATAATCTCCATTCTCTTTCTAACTGTTGAGATTTATTGGGTCATTTGAGTTAAATCTCACTTTGTAGTCAATTCAATTGAGAAATGGAGTTTCAAACCTGGGGAATTTATAACTACAATGTGGAGAGCAGAGAGCTTTCTCAATTCTCATCATCATCATCTGTATAATGCCCTATTGAATGGTTTATTTTTTGTTTGGATAAGACTACAGAAATGGTTTTGCTTTTGCTATATTCATATATAAAGATTGGGTGGCAATAAGATGTATTCATTCTTTTTCTCTCTGCCAAATTTATGGAGTTTATACTATTTTCATTTTTCAATCCAAACAGAGATGTTTTGTGAGTATTGAGTAATATATTTTTTTCTTAGATCTTGTTAGGGAAGTTTCTTTACTATTTTTCAGATGTTTATGATCTATTCCATAAAAAAATTTACTAATTGATCAAATAAATCTTACATTTCTGAACCCTTGATTTGGGAGAAATGTGCACCCAAATCCAAAATAAGTGTGAATTTATACCTGGGTTAAGAGGGAAAATTTATTAGTGACAATCCTATTAAGGTCTCATTCATTTTTCGGGGTAAATGCATTTACCTGGGTAAGTCCATTCAGGTAAGTGCATTTACCCATGTTTTTTTATTATCCAAGCAAATAGGGCAATAACTATTTTACCCATAAAAATCATTATTAAAATGGGCATTTTTGTCCCATTCAAGTGTTAGAACTTTCCTCCCAGGTGGGAAAGTTATTTATCCACCTAGGAACCCATGAAAATAAATTTGTCCTACTCCCTACATAAATTTGAAAATAGACCAACTTCCCCCTCTCAAAATCCGAAAAAAGAATACCCCCTAAAAAGAGGGGATCAGTTAGGCCAAAATGGATTTTTTTTTAATGCAAGTTGGAAACCCTACACCAGTAGGCCACCAGTAGGCGTAGAATTGGCCTGAAGTTTGAACTTTGTGAAATAGAAAATTGGAGTAGTGTGTTGTTCTGTGTGCATCTATCTAGAATAAGGCTGATACACACTTAAATTATGTACTATAGGGCCACAAACGGATCGGTTCGAAACGGATATAGGCATATCCAAATTTGATTTGTTAACATTCGAATTTGAATCCGAATCGGATCATATCTATCGAATATCTAGCATATTCAAATTGAATTCAGATTATAATCAGATATTAAATAGTATAAATGAATTAGACTAAAAATAACCAAAATATTATATATTATTATTAATATGAGTTAAAAATGACTTTAATAATATAGTTTATGAACAAAATGAATTGAAAACCACTTGTATAAAACTTGAAGATATGACAATTTAGTGAAAATACAAACACTAAGAACAACTTCAATGATAGGTATAATATACTTTTTAAGTATATATGAGAATATATATTTAAATCAAATCAAATCAGATTATATCGATTGAATAGGAGCAGATTCATATTTGATCCAATTATAAACGGATCGAATTTGAATTTGGAATTGGATAATCGGATACCGTTTGCAGCCCTAATGTACTAGTTTGGAATGAAATTAAGAATTATAATGGGGAATGCTTGTCACAGGTAGAATGGATCAGGTCAATAGATGAAGCAGATGGAGAACAAAAGAAAACAATGGAGCTATCAAAGGTTCTCTTACAGAGTGTATGAAGTTGATTGATCAGATCCATTATCCACAAGATGGGGGTGATGTCATGATAATAATAAAATGACCCAAAGAACTATATCACATTGTTTGATTATTTAATCAATAAATCAGATCATAATCCAAGTCATTTTCCGGTCGATTTTAATTAAATATAGCTACTTTTTTTTGGGCCACCTCATCAACCCCCTACCACACATAAGACTTGGCAAAGGATCAATGCCGTGTGTTACATGTCATCACCCACCCCTTTGAAAACAGTCACATTCAGTGATTCATATACCAACTAAAGCACTTCTACCTTAAGAGACTTATTTAGTTCAGTGGCTTTGTCTCTTATTGGGAGGTAAGAGGCTTTCAGTTGAAATCCTATTTGTTTATGTTCCAGTTGATTAACATTCTCTGCCTTTTGAGCAACCACTTTTGAAGGACCAATCCCTCTCAAACTCAACAGCTTGTGTATGAAGGCCCCATGTGTGGAGCCCCATAGAATACTACTTTATCAACTTTGACAGCAATTACCAAACCTTGTATTAGCTGAAACCAGCTGTTCAGAATTCAAAGTTTCAAAAAGAATTATTGGTTTAAGGTGGATAAGGAAGAGCTAAAAGGTTATATGGTGTAGGTAATGCAAGTACATAAGCTGATTGTGACCCAGCAACCCACAAAAGTCTAAAGTCTGAAAATCCACTGGCAGATAAGATTACAGTCACTGGTCACACCATGAAATCAATATTCTTTTCTTCTGGCCTTGACGTTTTCTTTTGGTGGGTCTGGGCTTATTGCATGTGCATCCATGCAAATGCATTACAAGCAGGTTGAACTGGTGAAATAAAAGAGAATCCTGCCACCCTTTGGCCTGGAAACCATTGCTAGCTGCTCAAAATATTAAATAAATGGTAGCTTCTGGCATGAAGTTCGAGCTTTACAAGATTGCCCATTTGACTTTTCCTTCAAAATTCAGAATTCAGAGTGGAATTCTGGTTAATATATACATAAGGTTTTTGAGTGCAAGTAGGGGTTTCAAAGGACCATGTTATTGTTTTGGGTTGGAATGGTCCGAATCAAAACCAATTTGAACAGGTTCGATGGGTCCAATAAGACATTGATTTGGACCAGCTCGGAATTAATGGTACAATATATTTATTGGATTGGATTGGACCTAATCCATCTGTAATGGATTTATATTAGATTGGGTCGAGTTGGACCAATATCCAGTGTCAATCCATTGACAGAAAATAAGTTAAACACAACCTGAATTAAAACCAATTTGAACAGGCTGAATAGTCTAATAAGACATTCAATTGGACCAGTATGGTAAAAAATATTTATTGAATTGAATTGGACCTAGTTCATCTGTTATGGATTCAAATTGGACCAGATCAGGTTAGACCAATATCCAGTCCATTGACAACCCAATGTGCAAGCACACGAGGACGATTAATATTTTTTTATCCTCTTTAGTTTTTCCCTAGGTTTCAGTGTACTTTTTTTAAAACCTGGTTCAGAAAATATATACCCAGAGGTCATATAATGCCTGAATTTAATGGCTTATTCTCCATACTTTTAGTGGACTAAGTAATTGTATGAAAAAATATGGAGGGGTATACGTATGATAATAAACCCAATACATCATTCACCTATTACATCTACTTATTGACTTATTCATTAAAAAAAGGCAATGAGTCATTCAATTCAGTTCAGGTATTGGAGTTGTTATAAAATCGCCTCTTACATTGTGTTTGGTTGTGAAGAAAATGAGAGAAATTAAAAGAAAATAGAAAGAAAAATAATATAAAAAGCAAGTAGCCAGGTTAGTAGAGAGTAGGGCCAACTTTGTTTCTTAACACCCTACCACTTTTCTCACTTTCTCTACCTTTTAGGAGAGAAAGGAAGGTCATTTTCTTAGATTTTCTTTTTCCTTTATGGTCTATTTGGTTGTCGAAAAATAGTGAGATGAGAAGGGATAGGATGAGAAAGGAATTTTTTTTTCTCATTTTTGGTCACTATGTTTGTTTGCTGAGATCCATTATCCTACAGAATCTGCTTCCCGCATTTAGTTGATGAGAGCTGCCAGATTTAAGAGCAGATCTGCAAGAGAAGTTTATTTTGTTAGGACAAATAAATCATGAAAAATTAAACTCATGTTAGATCTGTAACAAAACACTTCCGGTTTAGTAGATTTATACAATGAACAGGGGTTTATAGCAACAAAAAAATAAAAGTGTTTTAGATCTGGCAACCCAATAGCAAGGGGTTAGCAAATGGAGAAGATATGGGAAGAAGATGACGATGAAAACCGGCATTCGTAGAAGATGAGGATGAGAACTCCAGTCTCCAAAGACGAACCCGTGCTCCTTGTCCGCTAAGCACCTGAAACACATGGAAGGAAAAAATATTCTTGATAAAAATGCAAAAAAAAAAGAAACGTAAATGATGTGTGAAACGGAATCCTATCTCCTTGCCGTCTAAGAATACGAAGACAAGGTTACCTTCATTGGAGAATACGACGACAATATCCTATTTCCTTGTCGTCTAAGATCTAAGATCAAAGTTGATGGAGGAAGATAAGAGTATTTTTGGTGGAATAAAACACCAAATAACGTGAAAGGAGATGCGAGTACTTACCGGAGGTGGTAAACCTCGCTGAAGATGAAAGATAAAGTGGTCAGAGTTTGGACCGTTGCAGAGGTGGGAGATGAGAATAGTCCACCCTTAACAAATTTTCTCACACTCGTCGCACAACTTTTGTTTCTCACTGGGTGGTGAGACCCTGCATCCCTTATTTTAACAATACAAATCCCATCTCATTGCATCATATCTCTCAAAATAAACATGAGCGAATATTCCTATTTTCTCATCCACATCACACGAACCAAATGGATTGTTATTCTCCATAGTGGATGTGGGGGAAATTTTGGTTGTTTGGGAGATTGAACTGCAAGACAAGAAACTCCCAAATAGCCAGTTTTTTCCACACTAAGGTCCATTCAAATTAAGGGTTGTTTTCAGTTTTTCATCATTGATGGCGTGGCTGTGGGAGTAGATGTGCTTCAATCTAAAAGAATTAATTATGTGGTTGAAGCGTTTGAAGAAAAGCCAAGTGACAAATCTACCCATAACATGAAGAATATGAAGGATTTGAGGTCAACATTTAATAAAGAGTTTATTGAAAATGATTCATTTCTATAAGTTTGGTAGGTCACTTTGAAAAATGCATTGAATATTTGAATTAGAATTAGAGAATTTTTCTCTACCCCCCCCCCCCCTCAAAATATAGGTAGCTTCTTTGAGTTTAGATCTGTTACTCACAAGGCGCTATTATATATATTAAAGTAATGATTTCAGGCCAAAGTTTCCTACAGTCAAACATGTGGCTCATTTACATTCAGACACCTGTCATTTCAAAGATTTAAACAAAATAGGCACGTGTCAAATTCTGATTGGTGATAGTTCAAGAACAGAGCCCACTAAACATGTGCCAAATTCTGATTAATGGTAGTTCAAGAAAAGAGCCCACTAACATGGAGAGTGGAGCCTATCACCATGTA